CCTTATATGTGTCTCGTTGAATTGCGCGCAATGAAGTCATACTGGTAGAGGCACAGACTAAGAACAGGAGAAGGAATAATGGATGGTGTTGGCTTGGTGTGTCGGGATTTACTTTTCAGACTTGCTAAATCTGAATTCTTTAAACTTCCAACTTCAGACATCGATAAAATCGAACGAAGTACAAAGTATGTAAACTACTCACATCACAGCCATCAAACAGCGCACCCAACGTGCCGCAAGAGTCAAACTAGTACAGTACCGGTAGGCAGCCACACGAATGCACAAAGTGAAAAATGGAGAGCAAGGAGCGTAATGCAAACAGGCAAATGAAAGCCCATTTGAGAGGAAGCATGATTCACACTTGCATTCAACTGACATATATATGACCCAAACCAAATGAAGTGGTGGTACTGTTTGGGAGGTCAAGGACCTCCAAGTACTCTGCCGCCGGTTTTCCACGTCCAGTACATGTCCTTTCGCACGAGTTGTCAATTAAATATTGTGCCCGCTCCAACTACTTGGGCCAACTGAAATTTCACAACGAACGAATTCGAATACTTATTGGATATGTATAAATAATATTTCTAAACTATAAACTACTTCCTCCGTTTCAGAATACTATTGTGGGCTGTACAATTTTATGCAGTATATTCGCTATGTGTCCCTAATTCATATCGAACAACGACATATTTTTTGTTTCATTTTATTCCCCCATACAAGAAAGAATAATCATATTTTTTTACTTTTAAATCTCAGCCAATCATTCATTTCTGGTCCGATTGTAGAGCTTGTAGGCTCAAACGACTCGTATTGATGCGTAGATATAGCTAGCTATCCTCCACATCGTCTAAATCACACTGCATACCGAGGTATCTATGTTGCACGATTCGGAAGACCTGGTCGTGCAGCGTTTTATCCTACACAACCATGGGGAAACATGAACAACAGCACTACGAACTCGCGAGTAAGTCAATAATGACCACTATGAATGAGTCTATTCCATTGTTATAGCCAATGCTATTGCAAATCTTATCAACCTGGTGCTTGTGCAAACTTATTTTACCCTTTATAGTTAGTGCCATCAATATGCTAAATATTGTGTTGAATGATCTGAAATCTGAGCCAAGTGTCGTGATACCTTTTGCGTCACATCCTCATACAGTTGAAAAGTGCGAATTTGAATAAAAATACGAAAATTCTCATACATATATCAGATCCTAGTGCAACTTCCAGTACAATTTCCAAGTATAGGCCACACTCAAAAATAGTATTTTGGAACAGAGGAAGTACTATTTATCATTTCCGAGCAATCCATCGGGCAAAAACACACAAAAACATGATTGTGGATTCGTTGGACAAAGACCCCGTCGAATCGAATCACGAATCATCGACGCTAGTATTGGCTAATCCAATTTTGAGTGGATTTGATTGGCTCTTACAGAAAGGACAAGTATATTCAACCAATCGGAACTACAATATTGATTAGACAAAACCACGCGAATTTTGCAGGTTTATAGCGAATTCACAATACATAAATATATCATTCGTGAACGACTAAGTACTGTAGCTAGCTAGATATATAGGGATGATAAAAAAATGCACACAATAGGGCCGCCACCAGTAGTAGTAGTAAAGTATATCTTTTATCAGACAAAATATAACCAATTCACACAACCAGTATACCATGTGTACAAAATTTGCTCGAATATTTTTTCATACATGTCCAAACCCAATGCCCAATTACAATATATATATATATATACCTGTTCTTTTCCGTCGTGCGAGTGCGTGCATGACAATGACCTAGTACGCTTCTTGACTTGCAACTCCCACGCCAACGTATAGGATCTGACTCCACGTGGTGGTTGAAGCCTTGCACGCAAATCTGTCGAGGCAGCTGGTTCGGGGGGAAGTTAAAGCACACGTGGGTCACCTTGCCGTCGTACCCACAATAAATCACAACACGTAGCAACACGATGGACAATTCATTGGAGGATCACCACCCAAAATGCACACATTTGAACCAATCAATCACATCAACCAGTTGGTTTGATAGTCAATCAAAATCGAGTGTCCAAGGCGGCGGGCGATATCTGTCAAACAAATTGTTTCAACTTTAACAATACCTTTAACGAGTATCGGCGACTTGACTTGCTTGGTTCGAAATAAAGCGCATGCTGCGACGCAATGATCATCTCAATTGTCGTCGATCCTACATGAATCGTTGTATTTCATCATATATATATAGAAAAACCACCCACTTCTCCGGCTTAGTACTGCCAATTCAGCAAATCACAAGTTTGTGTTTCAAGTCCTGGAATGAGATTGAAGTCTGAGAGCGCACGTGGCGTAGGTACTAACTACTAGAGCGGCGGCGGTTTCAAACAACGTAAAGCTCACGTAACGCTTCTTCGTCGTCGCATATATGTATGTCGCTTGTGGAGAACCAAATGTGTACTCGGATCATTCACCGACGACGTCTGGGATGACCCAAAAGCGTTCGCTTTGAAACTAGTCACGGTGCTGCTCAAGACAATTTCGGCAACTCATGCGTGTACAGTTGCTATTTTGGGGACGCCAAGTAGAATCGGCCATCCACAGGTCAAAGTACCGTTCAATTGGAATATGTATGTCGTTCCAGCTTGCGGTACATAACATTCGAGGACTGGCGTGAATGTACCCGGATTTTTGTATAGAGCTAAGTCAACTTTAGCAAGCCTATCGGATGTGAATCATCATCTGTCGAGCATTTCACATAACTTGATAATTCACAAAAGGCCGATGGAAGCCACGTTCAGTGATGATCCACCAACTTGCAGATCGTCGGCACCTTCTCCGCGATGCAATGCACCTTGGTGCACCATGTCGTCCAGCAGCGCAAAAAAAAACCCGTTGACGCTCAGTCGAGTGATGTACTACGCGTAGAGTCATACGTTGACCTTGGCGGTGCTACTAGCTCGGACGTTCACGTTGAGCTTGTCTTAACTCGGCACCAGTTTTCCAGCCGCGCTTCCATCACGTACTTGAACTACTCAGCAGCAGCCGAAACAACAGTCAGTCAGTCGTCCGCCTACAACTAGTCGTTGTACATATACATGGTCATCCAGCCAAGCCCATGATCACCATCCTTGTTGGAACATGGTATTGTCAAATGGAAACTGGAGAATGTCTCGCTGGATTCAAGAACCGCCTGAGCCAATCAAATCGCGTAGTCATGTCAAAAATATATTGTGCCAATCCAAACGTTTGACCTCTGCATTTATATTTTCATTGTTGTACAAGATTCTTCAATCGGATGATCAAATGGATTTGAACTCTCAAGTCCAAATTTGGACGACTCGTGTGGTTGTTTATTTAACCATGCAACCAACGACACCGAATCAATGACCAAATCAAACGCACCAAAAATCAACATGAGTTGATGTATCACAGACGACATCACCACATGAACCACAAGCCGCGTGATCACGTGAGATCCTTGAATACTACTACGAAACGATATCATCACACCACACATATATTGTGCTTTTTAGTGACATTTCATTGTGTTGTGGTTTCTCGTTGGAAATTCAATCGATTTGATTGGCTACTTCAGATAGGCTCAAAATTATTATCCAATCAAAACCAATTTCTCAATGAAATTCAACCAATCAGATCGATTGTGGATCGGTTTGGTCGGCGCAATTATTCGATTGCACCCTCCCTCTACCCAAATTTGTATATCAAATCGACAATACCAACAAGATCGAATTTTTGGGCACATGGTGACAAGGCCAACCGACACAATTTTGACAACATTTTTTGCACAAGACAGTATAAACGTGACTTGAAAATGGTGGCGCCTGCTTTTTGCGCTCGTACTGGGATCGTGGCACAAGTCGCTTGAAACATTTCGTCGTGGCCTCGGTCTAAACTGGACAATCGACTTGGAGAATGAATCGACACAAATGTACACAAGAATCATTGGCACAAGGGTTTTTAGCCAATCAGGAAACAAATATCGAATTCGTGTGTGCCAGAAATTATTAGTGGGATTCCAATCCCCACAAGACAACTTTGACATACAAACTTCAGTACAAACAATCGATCGATGGATTTGGCCACGAATCAGCACAAACGTCCGCAATAATACTATATAAAAAATAGCCCAACACACACATACCTTTTGCATTTGTTGTGTTCCGACCGCCGCCTTGCTACGTACAGAGAGATACATGCTGGTGTACAAGTAATATATATATAAATAAATAAATGAAACAAATACACACTCGAATGCATCCATGCATCGAATTTTTAATATAATACTGTATATATATATAGAATTCTACCTCGGAACGACGCAGAGTGAGCTCGCTCAGCGCATCATTCTCGACGCACAAATCCCGGATGGCTTTGGCGGTTTCTTTCCGCGAGTGCACAAATATGGCGGCCACTTGTTCATCATTTGGTGGTGGCTATTCATCGGTTTCTTCTCCAATGTATTGCTGTTGCACCGGGCGATACCTCGAGTCAACGTAAAACAGTCCGAATTCAAACGCCGCTACGTCCATGTAGTTGGGCTTGGGCGTCGCCGGCAACCGCATGAGACGCGCCATCTGCTGGGTGCTTTCCACTTGTTCGAATCGATTCATTGTGAAAATAATAGTCAAAGCACGAAATACGAGGTATTATTGCCACCAGCAAGAGCAAATATAAACAGATGATCAAAACGATATAATAGTCGACATATATATTGTGCTTTCGAGTGAAATTTCATTGTGTTGTGGTTTCTCGTTGGAAAATTTAAATCGAATTGATTGGCTACCTGCTCAACATTAGTAGCCAATCAAAACCCATTTCTCAATGAAATTCAACCACCAATCAAGAGATCGATTGTGGATCTCGGTTTTGTCGACGAGATACAATTGCACCCATATTTGTACTATCAAATCGACAATATACCAAAACATAGACATATATTGTGAATTCGCAGTAACTTGCACAAAAATTCGCGTGGTTTGTCTTCGTCTATTGAATAATATCACGCTAGAGCTGTACGTGTGTCCTTTCTTGAAGAGCCAATCAAATCCTCTCAAAATCGAACTGGCCAATAGCGTCGTCGATTCGAATGATTCTGGAAATGTGTACAACAAATGTACAATATTCAAAATTACCACCAACACGGGGCATAAGTGGATTTGATCATCAGCCCAACCAGTAGGGTGTCTGTCACCCAGCAACTTGCGACGATGATGTGGGTCTTGCACAGGTCGTCGCAACTGCTCAGGTTTGATCGCCGCACTTGGGCGCCGTGAGTGTCGGTATTCTCATGCATGTACACGATTTTGAAGGTTTCGATGGCCCCGTCGCTTATGCAGCACGACGTTCGTACACAATGGCAATTTCGATGCCAACGGTTCATTTTGGTCTGCACGTGGCTGAGTAACTCCCAACAATATAGCGGCAACCAAGTCAACTTGTTGCGCTTGTACGCCCATGCCACACTTGGCGTTGCGTTTTCAGGGACGAGGTCGTCTATCTAGCCACAAAAAAACAACAGTTCATCTTATGTACATTCGGAGGCGATCACACCAATCATGGCAACCCAAAGCACGAATCAACAACGAAGCCACAACTCAAGTATCATTCAACATCGCAATATACAGTGAATAACAACCACCACCACCGTACCTCGATCGCAAGTCGCTCCGCATTCGACTGCGCTTGCTTGAGCCGTGTGCACCTTGCTCGCGCTGCAACCAAAACGCGTCAATGTCGTCGAGACCGCCGTTGATTCCTTCGTTCATCATCCAGTCGATCAAGCGCATGCCTTCGCGCATCAGCTCGTCTCCCTACAAGTCATGCGATCATCATCCTGATGATGTGTGGTGTCTCTAGACGTACGTCATCGTCGTCGTCGCGAATTTCGTCGTTGTCGGAGCCCTCTTCTTGGTCGTCGCCGTCAAACACGACCGCGACACCCATCTCTTTGTCCATGCCGTCGCCGTCGTCTTCGGGG